AATGTGAGGGCCTTTATTTAGTTTAAATTAAGTTTTTAGTTCATGGCCGTGGGAGGTGAGTTCGTTGGCGTTCCACTGAAAAATATTTAGTCCTTCCATTATTGTGTTCGGGTGATTGGTGATTTATTTTTTATTTTTTATTTTTTATTTTTTATTTTATTCGGTGAGTTCTTTTAGATGGAGGTTAAAGGGGCACTGATGTAACGCAATTCCCCGGGACTGGTTGTTGCCTTTGTTATTGTTTTTTCCCAGTGAATACCCGGATGTATAGCAGAAATCTAGACTAGTTCGCGACCTCTGCTGCGCCATTCGTAAGCGCATTAGTCACTTTTATGGGTAGTAATAAGGGCGTATGGTCACATTGATCAACAAAATGAAATACAGTTTTCGAGATAATAAGGAAATGTAGGTATCTTTGTGAGTAGCATCGGTAATGGTGACGAAGTTTTGATAAGTCACTTGCTTGGTAATTTTGCGATTTTCGTTTACACTATTTTTACTTGCAGCACAAAGTATATATTTCACCTGAGCATATGCTTTTTTTATAGTGTGTATATTTTTTTACTGTCAAATGTGTAACAAATTTATTAAACGTCTAAATATTCAGTTATTTTACATAGTGACTGAAAAACATTTCCATCTGTATTATTATGACAACGAATTCCAAACATTTTGATGTTTAATGTCATCACCAAGAGACTGAAAATGTAACGTTGAAAAGTACATTTCTAAGTTGTTTGGCTTTTAATCCTACATAATAATCTGTTGTGATGTTTGTAGGCCCTTTTGATCGTCTTGATCAATCTGGACCGATTTTTTAGTCAAAATGACTGAAATATTTACACATTTTATAAATTGCCTGATAGAATCACATTTTACAAATTGACGGTAATATATACACGCTTACAAAGGAAAAGACCTGTGACAACAACGTCTATCGCGCATTGAAGAATTTCCCAACCAAGACGTAGAGAAACAAGAACGAATCGGTTCAAATGAAGGAAAACAAAATGCAGATATCATAATTACAACCTACCAAATTTGTGTGTATAAGTTTTAGGCAGCTTCCTTGTTCGAGGAATGTATCCGTGAATATCCACACAAAGGAACAATATCCCACTCGTCTGCAGCTGCACAAAGAAACTTATTCGATGTCACGTGTCTCAGTAACAATCAAATATTTTAAAAGATATATATCGTTTCGGGATATTATAACCCGTGTTCGTTTCTCAACTGATCGCTTTGATTGTTTCAGGTGTTTGACATAGGTGTCAAGTCTCAATGGTCGGCTGAGAAAGCCCACGTGACAACTATTTTCATAGCGTCCACGGTTCCTAAAAATTCCATTGAGTGATAGATAACAATGATCAATCAATCAACGTATTATCAGTTAACCCTTTGAACAAAGTATGTTGTTTTTACATCGGCACTTCGCGCCATGATATGAGTGTATTCCCTTTGTTTTAGTAAACCTAGACATGTAAACACTCACTCTTGACATATCCACTTTGCAAGATAACAGTGATTAATCAATCAACGTATTTTCTGTTAATCCTTTGATGACTAGGAACGATCCGTGGTTGATTTACAAAAAAAGTAAATCAACTGATCATTCATCTCTTGCTGGGCTGCCACGTGCATATTACATAACACACATTTCACCTCACTTCAAACCTGGATTTAGATTGAATAATTACCCCAGACACAATAAATGCCAAATGGGAACCTTTGTCAGGTAACATAAGTGGTGCTACCACTAATTGTACCTGTAATAAATTCATTAACTGAGCATCAAGTGAATGACGACAAATACACAAGTGTAGGGTTATACGAGAAAACGTGGATGACAACAAGGGAGTAGTAATCGTATTATTGACGCAATCCGAAATCCGAAAATGCTTTCACTGCATGGATACTGTTTTTAGTATTAAACTATAACCATCTGGGGTATTTCCAAATGACGACATCCGATGAGCTCCCTTGTTCTTTTTGTCTGTTTGTTTAGGCTGAAGAAATGAATTAACATGCGCCCTTTGTCGAAATCTTTATAGATCACAGTTAACCAATCAGTGTTCAAAAATGTGTAAAACAAATATTGCCTCCAGCCTCCAAGTTTATTTAGCTGTCCTTGCAGACGGTACCCCAGCCCAGACATCGCTGTCGGTTATGGATGTGGTGTTTGTTTGTGGGATGGTGTTTGGGTGTGGTGTAGGGAGGAGTGGTTTAGATGCAGGTGTAGCAAATTTTCGTGTTTGGATTTTAGCCGTGTCTATGTTTATGTGTTTGTTGGCCTGCTGGGTGAGTGTGTGTCTGTATGGGCATTGGTTTGAAAGTGAAGTGTGTTGGGTGGATTTGCAGTGGATGCACCAGGGTGTGCAGGTGCCTGGGCAGTCTGTTTGTGCGCATTTTTTACATTTAGTTTTACGGTATGTGCATTGGGAGGCAGTGTGGTTGTATTTGAGGCACTTTGAACATTGCTTAACCTGCTTTATATAGGGTTTGACTTCTAAGTTGGTGTGGGCTCTGAAGGATATGTGTTTGGGGGCTTCAGGGAATTTAGCGGTCTTTTTGAAGTTGATTATGACAATGGAGGTTGGGACCGTTTTTCTGTTTTTTCTAGTTGAGGTTATTCTACGCGTGCTGGTGATTAGGGGTTGAGGGTTTTGGTCTTGGTTTATGTTAGCTTCTAGAGAGTATAATTGTAAGTCCTCAGTTGTTTCCCTTGGGTTAACCCTAATTACGCCTCGTGTATATTGTTGCCAATTAGGTGTTTTTTTTATTACCGTGACGTGGAATATTTGAGTTATTTTATTTGCTGCGTTGTAAGATTCTCGGTTAGGGAAGATTATCTGGTATCCTTTGTTGGCTTTTTTTAATATTGTTGTAATTTATTTTTTCTCTTTTAAAACAAAGTCCTATTTTATCTGCTGAAAGTTCTAGTGAGAGAGTGGTGCCTGAGCCTGCTGAGAAGAAGTAGAGGGCGAAGGGGGTGAGGAAGGCGGCCGGGGAGGGTGTGGGCGATGGAGGTGGAGTGGATGTGTCGAGTTTGCGTTTTTTGGTGTTTTGAGGTGGTGAGTTTGCTGGTTTGGTGGGGGTGGTGTGTGTCGTGTTTTCGCCATACTCGGTCGGGACAATGTTTTCGAGTGACCTCCCGGAAGTGTTGTGCGCTTCCGCAGGCGTGGGTGAGTAAGGAGCTGGAATGTCTGCGAGTGTGGCGTTGCGGGTGTCAGTCATGTTGTTTGGGTGTTGCGTTGGAGAGTTGGAGAGCGTGTGTTTTGGTGAGTGGTGGTGGAGTGGGAGTGGTGTTTTGGGGAGGTGAGTTGGTTTGTTGTTTTTACTGGGTGAGTTGTGTTTAGGAGGCGGAGGAGGTTGCGGTGGTTATTTGTTGTTGGTTTTAGTAGGAGGGTTTGGGAAATGGATTAATTATTAAAGATTTATTTTGTTGCTGGAAGGCTGGGATTAGGTGAAACAAGTGGAAAGCGGGGATTAGGAGATATTTAGTTGAAGGAGTGGAGGTATGTGAGTGGTGGGCGTGGGTGGTGAGTAGGAAAGAGCGTGCGTTGTGTTAAGGAGAAGGGGGGATTAGGTGTTTTTTTGTTTTTAGGAGTTGGGTCAAAGGGTGTGTTTGAGTGGTGGGCGTGGGTTGTGAGTAGAAATGAGTGCGAGCTGTGTTAGGGAGATGGGGGAGGATAAGGTGTTGGTTATTTATAAGAGTTGAGTGTTGTTGTTTTTAAGGATTTAGGGGTTTTGTGATTAATTCGGTGAGAGTGATGTAAGTGAATAAGGATGAAAGGATAACGTGATAATTACCGATGATGGAGTTTCCTTGGCTGGCTATCAGGCAATGCTCTGTGCTGGCTTGGGAAGTGTTGCTCGCTTGGGGTACAAACTGCAACTGATTGTCTGGCCAAGACTCGATTATTTACAGACCGCTGTCCTATAGCTGGAATATTGCTAGGTTCGGCGTTAAACAACAAACAAACAAACGATGAGAGTGATTTTAAGAGTATGTGAATAAGGCTGAAAGGATAACGTGATAATTACCGATGATGGATTTCTCCTTGGCTGGCTATCAGGCAATGCTCTGTGCTGGCTTGGGAGGTGTTGCTCGCTTGGAGTACAAACTACAACTGTCAAAGCTCTGTCTCCAAAGATGACTCTAAATCAGCTCTATCAGACCACATCCGTGACAACCCAAGCCACAGCATTCAGTGGGAGAGAGTCACAGCCCACACCACCAACCTTAAAGACTTCAAGATCAAGAAACTACAAGAAGCCATCAACATCAAAAGACTCCAGCTGTCAATCAACTGTGACCAAGGCTATTACATACCCATTGCCAGTTACTGTTGCACATTTACCTGTATAATCTTCAGATTTGGGTCATTATTTGAGAGTAATAAGTTGTTTTGGTTTAGGTCAGTGTCTTGAGGTACATTATATGTACATATATGATGGGGCTGCTTCTGCAAGTACATGTTAACTCCGCTAGTCTATTAACATTTTTAGAAAATGAAACGTCCATGTATAGTATTCACCAAATGGCCCAGGAAGCTGCTGATTTGGTAGGTTTTGTAACACTGGGACAATAGGGTTCAGAGTTAATAATGGCATTAAGATTAAACAGGTACCATCATCTGCACTCAACTTGTTCACAATATTTAGAAAATTACATATTAAGCATCCAAGAAACTACTTTACCAAAATTAATGTGATAATGGTACGTGAATTATTGGTACCATAACAATGGTTTTCTGAGGAACATTACAATGTCCATTCACATCAGACAGACTAAATCACAAAGCCAATTAATAGCAACACTGTCCTCACTTGATGGCTAGAAATTTCACTACACATACCATCAGCTCAATGGTGAGCAACAGAGGTTGTGGCACCATTTGCTTCAAGCCTGGAAACCTTTATCGCATTGATTTTATTTTTGTAGGATATGTGGAAGGAATGTCCATGCTAACTTAAAAATGCTATATTGTTTCATGCAGGTTCGACTCCTGAAGAATATTTTGGATGCATGGAAGAAAGAGGTTGAGAAGAAACCTCCCACTATGTCAAATGATGAAGCTTATGAGGTTCTCAATCTTCAAAAGGGAGTTGGAGGGTAAGACAAAGAATATTATTTTGGTATCATGTTTTGATGTCAGAGCAGCTTCATTAGTTGGTTTGTTGACAGGTAGAGCTCACATCCATCATATGTTACTCTATATCTATCAGTTGAACTATCCTTGAATCAAAATTAATTTAATTGTGGCCAAAATTACTCCCCTGAGTTATCTTGAAACATCTTCTCTACTGGACCAAAGAAACTTTACATGCCTATTCTCACCAAAGATGACACCTTAATTTATTCAAGAGATTTGAAATATTAAAAATCAAAACAATTCATGGCAGTTACTCTGCAATCTTTTTTTCAAAATATATTGAAATTTTGCATACTTCTTGCAAATACAAAACATCAGTGCCACTAATTTTGTCATCACTATAAGATCTTCAGATTTTCAACAGCTGTCTTAAGTAAGTAACAGATGCCAGATGAGAAAACGTCTTGTGTCAAAAGCTTCAAAAAGAGGAAAATTTAAAATCGTTTTCTGAGGTTTCACAGAGCTAACAACAGCAGTGAATATGTTGGTTACAGACACACATGACGTTGATAAGATTATTTACATATTCCTATGTGCAAGGGGTTAGTGTACAGTTCTCATTAGGAAGTGACAACATGGAGTCGATGGCATGCTGTATATACAAGTTTGCTTTATACAAGTAAATATTTATTATATACTTCAGTGTGAAAGACTGAATATTCTTAAGTTGAGAAAAGTGATATTTTTATTGAATCGAACATAACTCTTGATATTTCACTGCAGTGAACATAACACTTTGATCGAACTATTGTCATACAAGAGTTACTCCCCTCAAATTATCTCCCTTTACCGTAAGTGTCTACCCCGGACACAAACTGACGTCCTTTTGACAAGGCAAAATAAGGACAGATGTTCAGTAGTGGAGTTAATATTGCTTCTTGCCCTTGTTATTCTGTCAAAAATGTGTCGTTATAAACTGCAAATTTCATGAGACTGTTCATTTCGCAAAGCACCGTTTTTGTTACTTGACCAGTGTGTATTTCTTTCGCTTCCAACAGCAGTCTCGTAGCTTTCAAGATTTGATTTTCTATATAATCTTATTCAAATCTATGGTTAAGAATTTTAATGACCCTAAATATATTTTTAGACTTTTGTTTATATTTTTAAAGATTTTGCAGAATCTGAACTACTTTTAAGCAATTACAAGGGGTGGTGTCCCTGTGTGTAAGGTAGGGAGAATATAAGTTTCAAGGTTTTACATGTGTAATGAAACAACAACAACAAAAGTTTTGGTAGACAACTTCACAAAAAGTACATAATAAATAGCATATTCCATGTGTCAAGTGAAATATCATGTTTCTTTCATCTCCTTCCCCCCTTTCATGAAATATCCTCTATATATACAAGAAACTCTATGATGAGAGAAAAATATGGGATCCAGTAAAGGTGACTGAAACTGCCAACACATGAAGTGGGAGATTTGGGGTTCTGTGTTAAGGGATCAATGTGAATATTACAAGGGTTGACTGATTGGTTCTGAGCCTCACATTGAAGGAATTGTATAAAATTAAATGTTTTGGTGTGGACATTACTTCATACAGACCAATATCTTCAAAGACTTGAGTCAGTTTGAGCCAATTGTTTTCCTGTGACAATTCAGGAAATAATCAGGGGTCTGTGACCACTGGAATATATAAATAATCGAGGAATGTGCCGTGATCAGGTACTTGCAGAAAAAGGGCTTTTCGCCAAAAGACATCCATAAAGAGGTATGATGAGTACAACTCAAGATTACTATTAAGAGATGGGCAGCAGAGAGAGCCTTGAAGATAAATCCGTCCTGAAAAGCCTGCGACATCAGCAACACAGGGAATGATCCAGAGAATCCATATCATGATGACCAACTAGCAAATGATGGAGTGTCCTATTGCTAGTTCAGTAGGCATTTCCCAGGAGAGAACACATTCCATTATCCCAGAAGTTTTGGCAATGAAGAAAATATCAGCTCTTTAGGGTTCCAAAAGCTTCAAAATCACATTACGCCCCTGTCTTTGATAATCTAACTAAAGAAGGCAAAGACTGTCCCATCAGCTGGAAATGTTATGCCGAGGGTGTCATCATGGTGGACTATCTTCAAAGAGGCCAGAAAATAAACGGAACATGCGAAAAAGTGTGCTCTTCCACCATGTGTTATGGTAAAATTGATAACATATTTTTTTGTGTATTTAAACCAAACCAATTTGTTTCACTGATTACCTAATTGTTATTATTAAAAATAACCCAAACATTACATCTTTAAAAGGTAATTGTCAAAAAACATTTCATCAAGATGATTTTCACTTGAAATATTCAGTATGTACATGTATTTCTAAAAATCACATGAAAATTAGAAATAAGCTCAAATTGTTTTTTATCTTAGGAGCATGCACAAAATAATGGTCAAATTATTTTGCTGCACTTTTGAGGCAATTATGGGATGAAACTAAGGCCACAGGATTTTGGAAGTTGTGAAAAGGCTCGCTCTTCCATCAGGATAATGTGCTAGTGCAGAAATCAGTCATAGCCATGGCTACAATCCACGAGTGTGGCTTTGAACTCCTTCAGTACTCATGATATGCCGCCAAACTTCCATCTGTTCCCAAACACGAAGAAAGCTCTATAAATTAAGACATGATGTGTGCATATGCTCTACAGTAAAATCTTTTGTACTTTAGTTAAAACAAATAGATTAAATAAGGGGAATTCCTTTGGTATATGTCATGAAAAGGTGTGATTGACAGCCAAAACAGGGATTGTCTATGATGTAATGGAGGTGGTATTCTTGAAGTTATACACAATAACTATTCTTTGATGCTTACACATAATAGTAAAAGTACAACAAATATGATGTGTAACAGTTCAAAATATGGCATATATGATGCATGTATCAATTCTCTGTCAACTTGGATTCACCAGCGAAGATCCGGGGTACAAAAGGCCTTCAGCAACCCATGCTTGCAGTAAAGCATGCGACTATGCTTGTCGTAAGAGGCGACTAACGGGATCGGGTAGTCAGGCTTGCTGACTTGGTTGATGCAATTGTCATTGTATCCCAATTGCGTGGATTGATGGCCATGATGTCAATCACTGGATTGTCTGGTCCAGACTCAACTATTTACAGACCGCCGTCGTATAGCTGGAATATTGCTGAGTGCGGCGTTAAACAACGAACAAGCAAAAACAAATGAACCAGGGTTTGTTTCAAAAGAAAGAATTTGAAAGATTTTGAATAAAAAGGGTCAGATATACATATACAATGAACTCTGTTGAAAACCAGATTTGCTGACATTCTATTCCCGGTTTTGCATTGGGAAAATTTAAACATCAAATCTCATTGTATGTGTGTATTATCAATCTTCAATCAAGAACTGTTTAAGAACTGTCACCCAGTCTCAAATCTATCCTTCCTTTTCATGTTGAATGAGCAAGTAGAATCGGCTAGACTGCATAGACACATGCATGACAACAATCTGGGAGATGTCCTGCAATCGGCTTACCAGACAGGTCACTGCACACAAACTGCTATGTGTGCATATTGACCTACTTCATGCTGTTGATACCAAGGGAGCAGCAGTTCTTGTCCTCTTGATCTGTCAGCAGCATATATAACACAACAGACCACTCAACTTTTCTCATGACACTGGTTACAGAGGTGGGTGTTACTGGTGAGGCTCTATCATGGTTCACATCATATCTCAAAGGATGCCACCAGTAAGTGATTTTTGATGAAGTCAGTTCAGATAGGAGCAATCTGAAATTTGGAGTGCCACAGTGATCTGTTCTTGTCCCAATACTTTTCACTATATATACACCCGATGAGTTGGAAGAATTGCAAAATCTCGGGAGCTCTGTTTTCATCTGTATGCTGATGATACTAAGTCCTTTCCAGGATTCAAACCATTGTCACCATCATCAGTTTGTGAAACATTCCAGACATTCAAAGCCAGCCTTGATATCGAAAGTTGGATGATGTCAAACTATCTAAAACTGAATGATGACAAAGCTGAAAGTTTGATCATCAGTTGATCATCAGTTGATCATCATGTAGCCCAAGATCCAACTTTCCAGTATTGTTCAGCCAAGCAGTCGCACAAGAAATCTAGGCATGATCACTGATTCAACATTCAGTTGAAACCATTTGAATAGCATCTGCAAAAGTGCATACTATAAGATAAGGAGCATCACGCAAATCAGTGGATATGTGAACATATACTCTGTCAAATGCTTAGTCCTTGAATTTGTCAGGTCAAGATTATACTATTGCAACAGTCTCCTGCATGGCATTCGGCAAATTCATCAGGAAAAGCAATCAGAATACAGCTGCCAGGCTTATCATACAAAGTTGAATGTGTGAACATATAACACCAGTCCTTGAAGAACTGCATTGGTTTTTCGAGCATTACAATGTACATGCCCACAACAGATGGTGGTGCCGCCAACCTGAACAACAATGTAATGAAACAGAACCTGTAGCAGAGCTGCCGCTGCTCTATGGAATAAGCTTTCAGTGGCTGTCAGGAGGGCCTGGGATATCAGCAGCTTCCGTTCAATAACACTCACGACCATCTTATTTAAAAGAGAATATGACTTATCGCTCTTGAGCAGGAATATCTGGATAACATGTGCTATATGTAGGATGAAGCACATCTGAGGGTTTTTATGATATTTATAACCCAGGAATTTAAGGGTTTAAATTTCATAAAAACATGAGGGGAAGTGTTTTATCTAACTTATAAACTGAAAAAAGAAACTTTATCAACATATTTTTGTTTTAAACATACTTTCCATGAACCTAAGGAAACGTGCATAAAATATCTGTTGCTGGCTTATAGTACTCAAAAAAGACATTCTTAAAAGCATTGTGATATATCAGTGTATCTGTAGCCTAGTGGTACACTCACTGGGCTACAGATACGAAGGGCGCGTGTTCGATCCTCAGGAATTTTCAGAAAACATTTGTCATTGATTTTACATTTCGTTACCTTGTGTTCATATGTTACAATCTAAACGGAAGTTGTGTTAATAAAATCCCTAGGATATTGTATAAAATCCCAGGGATGTTATAACATATTATACAGCAAATATCCCGGGGATATTATAACGTCCCTGTTTATGAGATTGAATCCCAAATGAGAACAATAGAGTTGTTGTTGTTGCATTAGGTGTTTAAGAGGTCGCCTTCTGCCTAGGCAATTTCGGCTGACCTGTCCCTCTTTGGGACTCCTGTGTGTGAGAAGGGTTCACATATCTATTGTGAGTTCGGTGTTCACATAATTTCTGTTTTTGCATTGATATGATTTCTATTTTCTTATATTGATATGATTTCATTTTTATCCTTGGCTGCTCTGTTTATATACGTTCGAGCAGCTGTCCATCTCTCAGAAATAGAGTTAGTTTGGCCTTCGCTATTGCATCTCTTGGCTTTAGGAGATCTATGACAGATAGCGGATCTAACTGCAATTCTTGTTTTAACCTAGCCCGGGCCGGGGCATGGTCTTGACATTCTAGTAACAGGTGGTCAATGGTTTCAGCCTGATTGCAAGATGAACAAACCTTGTCATAGTGCTTTTTGTGACCAAGTCTGAGGCGTGAGATAGCAGTTTCAATTTTCCTTTCATTTGAGTATGAGTTTGGCTTTTGTTGGACCTTGGGTTGAATTTTGTATAGCCATCTGCCGATCTTACTTGCGTCCCATTGGGTTTGCCATCTTTTTGCTATGGAGGCTTTGATTTTGCTTTTTATCTCTAGTTTACTAAAGGGAATAGGCTGTATATCCGCTTTGTCTAGAGCTAGCTTCGCCAGTGAGTCTGCTTTTTCATTTCCATGAATATCTATGTGAGAGGGGATCCAACACAGCTCCACCTGTTGCCCTTGGTCCGATAGTTTTGTATATTCGTATAGAATATTGTTGACTGTGTTTGGCCTGGAGTTTGAGTTTCTTCCACTGATGGCCTGAAGTGCACTTAGCGAGTCTGATAGGACGACTGCCTTTGCTTCCGGGAGTTCCGGTATGAGTTTGAGTGCATGATGAATTGCCTCCAATTCAGCCGTGAATATCACTTCCCGTTCATTACTGTTATTTATAGTATGACATTTATTGCCTTTACTGTTCATCCCCTGATCTGTGTCGGTTCATCACCCCCAGAAGTCCCATGTCCAGAGCAACACCATTGTCTGTCCATTGTTGTTCATTACTATATATGTGTTACCATCACACTGTTAGTCAGTTTGGTATTCCTAGTGCTGGTGTAGGGACGACCTCGAGCAGGATGTGCCACTAGTAGGAAACGTCCTGAGGTTGAGCTGGCGCTCCGCTCATCTCTTGTATGCCTGAGCTGGAAGGTCTGCTCATCGCTGTGTTTGTGTTGTCAGAGCAGGTATTCCACTCATTGTGCAATTGTTGTTTATTGTTTACATGTTGTGCATAAAGCGTTCCAGGACAGTGATGTCGATTTTGTCCTTTATTCCCCCAAGAGCTAATTCCCTGTCAACATCTTTGTTGACATCTGGTGTTAGAACCTGGCTGGAGTAACTCTTGAGTTTACTCCCGATCCAGTTACCTCTCTATATGCCTACCATCATCAACAATCATCAACTCAAGTCATGAAGAGCAAAGAAACAAGATTGAAGAAAACAAGAAGAATCTCTCCGATGCAAACTTTCCTGATGAGATTTCCCCTTCAAGATTTCGTTCCTACACAGGACCAAAGAAGTACACACGCCTATCCCACAGACATCCTGATCACAGCCATCATCATGCAGACCCTGCATCATACAGAAACCGCCTTACAGGCACCTACAAGATGGACACTGTGTACAATATATCTCATTGGGACTTACTAACTTGTGTTTACTTACATGGACTCAATCCATATATATATATATATTGTGTGACTGTTGCTAAGTGCAATGAGGTATGTTTGATCACAGCAAGTATATTAATGCCAAAATGTGTCTTTCCAAAATTCATTTTGGTATATGTGCAATATACTCCAAATTCCATGTTTATTCAAGCTAAATTTTTTAAGTTATTGTGTAGGGAATCTTTGAAATGTCCCCAGGCCACGCCAGACATATAGATACAGCTAGGGCCCAGACAAACCTAAGCTGTAGGGTTATCGAGTCACACCTTAAAGCTAGACTCGTAATTTCAAAAATCTAAATGACGAAATTTGTAATTTGTTACAGGTTATTAATGTGCACAGTTTAGTACAAAATTGAATGTATTGTCTAGGACTTTGAATTCAGAATAGGGATATTCTTGGGTAAGCCACCCCCACACATATGTATATTGTCAGTATTAAGTAATAAACAGCACAGCAGTATTCAGCATTTCAGTTTTGATGTCGGAATTAAGGATTATTTTTTTTCTTGGGCATTGCAACCACAATATCTGGGCAAGCTCCGTCAAAGACCCCCATTGTACTTAAAAGGGCAAAAGTACCCACAAGTACCGTTTGAGTCATGGGGTAAAGTTAGACTCCTGGTTACAAATTTCATTTTGGGAAATATTTGCTGAGATGTTTAATTTGTACTTATTATGACATTATTCATTATCATAATTCGGTACTGAGTCGCACCGCCAAGCCAGACTCCTGAATTCAAAGAACCTTCAGTGATATATTTATTGAATCTGTTCAAAACGGTAATTACCTTGTAGTGAAATTGCACATTACAAAGATCACTTTCAAACTGGCACTAAATCAAATTGGCTAGATGATCACTTTCATACCGTCATTGCATAGGTATATTTGTTGCACAACATGCACGTTGACATCTGCATGTCGTCGTATCTCAATTTGCTTGGATTGATGCTCATGGTGTCAGTTACTGGATTGTCTGGTCTAGACTCTATTATTTACAGACCGCTGTCATATAGCTGGACTATGCTGAGTGCAGCGTTAAACTACAAACTAACAAACAAAATAAATCTGATAAAAAAATAATCCAAACATAAGGTCTTTAAAATGTAAATGTCAGAAAAGACTATCTCTTCAAGATGATTTTCACCTGAAATATTCAATTTATTTTTAATAGTAATAGTAATAGCATTTTAATAAAACTTTAATTGGTTAAAAAAACAATTTAAGTTTTATTAATATGCTATTACTATTATCCTTCATAAGGAGCATGCACAAAATAATTGTCAAATGTTAAAATAGACTTTTAGTTTATTACAACAATGTTTAACCAAGATACATATACTGTAAGATGTAGGGTAAGTGTGGTTGAAAAAAATTAATGAGGTAATCATTTTAGTGATACTGTCCAATAGTTTCTTTGTGTACATATATTTATTTATGAGTGATATATGTCCAAATCAAGAAAACTGATAAAACTCAATGTTTACAAATATGTAAAGGGATAAACAGTTGATTAAGTAAACACAGGAAATCCTTGCATGTAAATCTCCCAATATCACACAGTCTCACATGAAAATGCTGCTTGGCCTCACACGGCAGTGAATGGTCTCTGTTATCATCAAGACCTCTCCATCGCTACAGAAATGTACTCCAAATTATGTTGTCCAAGGTGAATGAAATGTGCTTTCTTCACCCTTTACATATAAATGGGTTTCCAAACTTAAATCCCTGTTATATCGTTTTGCATTTGGATATGTATGGGAAGATCAAAATGTTACATTAAAAGAATAGTTTCTTTCAGAATTTGTTATGAGACTTAAATGTACTTTTGAACAGGACTGGCATTTCTTATTGTCAAGCAAATCTAAAACACAAATATATTCAACCACATTTCAACCACTTCTTAATGTAGAATTAATATCAGAAAGAAATTGCCGTTGCAAAATTTAGCATAGCTTTGTTCCAGTTTGTTATGAGGAAAATATGTACCAAATAAATTTGTTATTCATCTAACACTGTTTAAATTTAATTCATGAATCTCTTCATCCAATGTAAAGGTAATTAAAAACCTTGCTATGTACATATGAGCAATAAGCTTAGGTTATAAGCAAACTATGTTCTGTATTTCTTGAATTTGTTCTGTACACCATATTTGGTCACTGTTGGACCAATGATAAGCTGTGAATTTCTGCTGATGGCCTACATTGTTACGAAATAAACAATATATGACTTCTGTTTTACTTTCTTATAAATGTAGCTGTGTAACTTATGTAGGACTTTAAATCTGAACCACATTGGGCATGTCCTTGATTTCACAAATCAGAAATGTGATTGGAAGTGATAGTATTGGACCAAAATGGCACATGACTTTCTTATGGCAGTAGTGAGAGCCATGGGACCTTCCAGGCCATGACTACAAGACATGTCATTAGACCAGAGATGTATTCAGGTTCCTCAGTATGTTAACTGGAGACCTGGATGGGGTTAAGTAGACCAACTGTATTTCATCAAAGGTGTTTTCATCAAACTTGAAATTTTCAATAGTTTGTAATGAATTCAAGTACCGGTACTTGAAAATTCTAGTTCTTCCAGTATAGTTGAACTTCTTGAAATCTTGTTCAGATTTATATTCCAATCTTTCTCATTTTAATGCCAAATTTATTTTCATTTCAGGCATGATGAGGCTAAAATCAGAAAGGCCTACTTTAAGTTAGCCCAAAAATACCATCCAGACAAAAATCCGGAGGGACGAGTAAGTATTGGAATGACTAGACTACTTTATTAGGTATATGTCCTGGCCTATTTGTCCAATGGCCATCATTATCCACAGCTGCATCTGTAAATATCTCGGATACCGCTGGACAAATAAATTTGAAAAATGACATTCATGTTCCAAGCAATGTTGAATCTGTTCAAGAGGCTCCAAACCGCCATGGCAGACATATTGAGAAACCCATTAATTGCCATAACTAGATATCAGCTTTCAATGGACATTTGGTGCCCCGTATTTGCCATAAGAGACCTGGGTGCTAAAAATATTCACAAAGGGGAAATGCATATTCAAAGTAATAAATAACAAGTTTAATATATTTTCAGAAACTGAGCAGTAGAGAAAAAAAATTGAGGAAACTTCAACTTTTTTTTATATTAGTTACCTGGCACTTCTATACCTTTTTTGTAAAAAAATGCTGTCATGTACACAAGAAAATGTAGACTTAAGTCAGGAGCACTTAAAAACATTATTGGAGTTGTGCACTTAATATGGCAAGTATGGTATGTAGAGTTAGTGGAGGGAACTCACATAAATGTTCAAGGTTTTTGCAATATTATTGAATTTTGGCCTTGATTCAACCCATACACTTTTACAATGCCCTGGAAGTATCTCTTTGCTCTGTAAACATCTTCTGGGAAACTCCTCCACTGCTCAAGTTGAAGTTTAGCATGCATGTTCCTTCGAATGATATTTTGTTCAAATAATTTTTATTTCGTCTTTAGTTTTGTTTGTCATAAATATTATACAAATCAAATTTCACAAGTTCTTTAAGAACTACAATGCTTAGAAAGCTGAAACTTAGAATGAATGTTCATTGCTGTAAGTAGATTCAGGTTTGTTAAAGGTGTATGTGTCAGGACCAGCATTCAACTTCAGTGTGGTAGACAATGTTGCAAAACTATATGTAGTACATTGCACTATATGTTCTGCAAAGAGGCACAATTGGCCCAGTCGTGTAGTGCACTGAATTTTTCTGTACAAAGCCAAAAACCTATGATCGTGGGTTCGAATTGCAGATTTGCCCTGATTATGTTCCTTGATTTGGCAACATCGTAGCCATGTCATGGGTTCACCATTATTATATGGTAAGCATTTATTATGCTAAGACCTGTATCACATCAGGATTTCCTTAGATATTCCTATGAAAAGAATGGAATGCTGTTCAAAGAAGTGTTACATTATATGGACTTACTGTTCTGAAAGAATGTTGACATTGATGATGTTACTATTTTTCCTTCAACCCATTGCTTCCACCTTGCTGAGCCTGGATGTTTGTCACCATTATAAGGTTGAAGCTTCATCAAACCAACATGTACTATGTCATTAAAATAGCAAGACAAATAGAAGAGTTCAGCCTTACTCAACAACCTGTTTTCAGAAGAGAGTCAAAATATTATTTGAATGATAGGGACAATAAATTCTAGAAATGTAACAGCACGTGCAAATACAGGAGTAGCCCCATCATCACACCTTCTTATCTCACATCTTGACCAAAACCTTTTCATGTAAGTAGTTATCCTATCTTCAGTATGAAGTAATTTCCAAGTTTAGCAATAACTTTAATACTTAAGGAAGAAATGTAACCAATACAGTTTTTTTCTTATGAACTTGATCACTGACCTGATGAGTCGTATCAAGAAGTATTAACCTTGCTGTCTTGTATACGTAAAACTTATAACACATGCACTGTTAGGTGTCGATGCAACCTATAATTTAGTGGAAATGGACATATAACTCAAAGACAGTAAAATATTCATGCAACATTCAAAACAACAATTGTATGAAGTGGCAATCTTTGTGAACATTTTAAGTCATAGTGGCACAACTTTATGTGTTATAGTTTCTATTATTTGTGTATTTTCAGGATGTCTTTGAACGAGTGAACAAAGCTTATGAATTCTTGTGTAGTAAATCTAAAGTGAAAGAGGGACCTGACCCTCAGAACATAGTGCTGATACTCAAGGCCCAGTCCATTCTCTTCAGTAGGTACAGAGAAGGTAAGGTTCATTATTTATTTATCTAATATTCTGGTGGAGGCTGTGATTAGTTCAACCTCTAGGAGACTGAGGTGTTATAATGGCCTGGGCCTACTTGCATACAATAATCTGAATGTTACTTTCATTGTAATGTTTACAAAGCATGTGGATACACTTAAGATTGAAAGTAAACAAAAACATTATAATGATGTTTCTTTTATTTGCCCACCAAAGGACTGCAGGTCCAACTGAGTCTGAGGCATGATTCGCTATCATCTGTCTGTCTGTTATGTTTATCTTAGATGGTTATATTGATAGGAAAAGAAAGTAAATGAGATTAATAATAGCATTTAAATCCCTCCTGCTAGCTTGACCTGTGATCTCAGTTGTATAAAGAAAATGGCAGGAATGGTGAAATATGCTACATGAATATTTATATGAGACGGGTCAGGTCAACCTCCAAACATTGTAAGGCGTTGTTGCTCAAGTTAGCGTAATATTTTGGCAATACCCCCTTAATATACAGCAGCTGATTGATTGATGAGAACTGCTTACTAGATGTGTAAGTACCGTTCGTAAAATGTTAGTCTTGATTGGGGAGCATCAATTACATGATCAATTGGTTCTTAGGCCCCTCAATTTCAATCCAGAATCCAGGTTGAATGAAGTCTGGATTAAAATCATTCTTACAAATCCTCTATTCCATCATTGACATAAATCCTGTATTTTGACTGCAATCACACTAAAACTAATTTAGTCCTCTTCACTGTCAACTATACATAACTAGCTCTCGCAATAGCACTATCAGCTAACAGCTCTCCTGTGTGCAAAGGCAGGGAAAACGTCGCTTCTTTCCTGTGTGTGCTAGAGTCAACATCTCCTATATAGTTGCTCCGCTCTGGCACATGGTTATGTAGTCACACTAATTCTTGACCGCTGTGTATTATTACTATTCATACTGCTGAAAGTAATTTATTTGATTTTTTATTTGGGGCACGTTTTATGTGAGTATTAGTTGGTGTTTGGCGTTTGTTCCACTTCATGGTATCAAAAACCCTCATGCTTCCTGTTCCAACACCGTTATCAAGCAAGTGAAACCTACACCGAAACGTCGCTCTTAATTGTAGTAAAGAAGTTGTTCATCCATAAATTCTTATCCTTACTTAGTACTCCAACTTCTAAATGCCTATAAAAGAAATGCAGAGATGTGAACTGCACTGTGGAGAAATGATGCAAACTCTGTACTCTTTATGTAAGAAGACTGTTTCCAAGCGCTCCAAATCCATCAGCAAGGAATGAAGTGGCCAAGAAGAAAGTAATCTTCTGGACCATATGGATCAACCGTCAGAAGCTCGCCATTTGGATTACTGCTCATATCACACAGGTTTCTCTATGGTTAAAGGATCATCAAGGCCATAGTGCGGTTCCTGCACGTGCTTCCCGGCCATAGGGTTATCGTCTAGTCTTTCACATGACCACCGCACGGACACCTCTCGTCATGGACACTGTTAGATGACAACCAGCAAAGGGAATACGTGGATCCTCTTGAATACCTGAATTATCAGCATCCACATGGCTCTTGCTTTGGGCTCTCCTACCAACTACGAACTCTGTTCAGGAATATGGGGATGATTATTACCCCAACCGATACCTCACCGCTGAGGGGATTCAGACTCTATCTTTTGTAGATTTGCTTGAAGCACTATACCACATTATTCCATCACTTCCATCCCGTAGGGACCAGGTGGCTCCTCCTTAGATGCCTCAATCTGCGGGCTGCCCAAACCCTGTCTTGTCTTTCAAAGTTTGCCAGACCCTGCCGTGGCCAAGCTATACCCAGAAGGTTACTATAGGGACGGAGTTCATCTGTCCATCTGTCTTTCTGTCTTTCTGTCTGTCCATCTATCTGTTCGCTTCTGAATGGGGAAAATTTTTCTCAAAAACTGTTGAAGTTAGAGAAATGAAATTTTCTCACTGATCTTACTGGTCATGATCATAAATGACTTTGTAAATTGGTGTCCTGAGTTATAGCCTGGGTTCTGTGCTTTTTAATTTTTCACAGAAATTCCATGAAGGAAAGTTTGCATGCTTATATACGAGATACTTGTCAAGACTGAGTTAGTGCTGAAATTATTATTTTTGCAGAGTAACATCCCTTGCTACATGTTTTTAGATTTTGTGCATACACAGTTACGGCCCTTGATCCATGTATTTTTTTTCTATTTAGTGCATTTTGTTTGCAATGGGGAAAGTTTTCTCAGAAACAACAATATAAGTTACATGAATGAAACTTTGCAAACCAATCTAAGAGATACTTATCAAGACTGAGTTCGAAAATCAGATTTTCTCATGACATAAAGCATCCTCTTTTCTTAGGATGTAAAGGACTCTTTTTTTTCATAGTTAACATTAACTTCCATGTTATTCACAACTATACAAACAAACAAAATTCTAATGTGCCCTATGGCGGGGGATAGTAATAATGCTGTATCTTGTTGATCACTTGCCAGATAAATTCAGGAAACTCTGTCTTGACAACAGACTTCCTCTACTCATTTTGAAGAGAAAGTTATATCAAACACATGACTTATCATTCCCGGATTCAAAAGTTGTGGATGATGATTCTTAAACTGATAAAGAATCCTAATATGAAGCTCTTCTTACCTGCTATTCAAGACTTATCCATGGCAAACAAATACTCCCATGCTATCCCTCCTATGATGATGATGCTCATCGAGACATGCCTTTATCGATATGCATGGATCAGGTCGGCCTCATCTACTGTCTCCTGGATGCTGTTGTGCACATGCAAGAGAAACTACTCTCTACACATGTTTGCACTTCCTCCCTTTTCCGGTGGATGCAATGACTTTTGGCACAAGTCCGTTCCAAGGCTGTCTCAACTCAGGCCAAGGATTTAACAACCAACTTGGTAAGTTATGGACAAGGTCAGACAGGATACGTCCGAGTGATTCCAAGTTTCCAACATTAAGCTTGCTGTCAAGGCTCATTGTTCATCGTTCTTATCTAAGAGACCATGTGAGCATTCCTGGGATAGCTCTTTCCATGTACCACCTTGCGTTCTTTCCTCCTTGAAGACTTCACACCCCTAGGATGTTCCTGATGCAAATGCTACATTGCTCCAAAAATCTAAGAAAGCTGCCTTTCTATTAGCCATGGCGACTGCCACTAGAGTCTCTGAATTCATGCCTTGGACTATTCGAACATCACTCATGATAAAGATTGGAAGTCTATCACGTTACGCTTTCTTCATAAGAACCAGTCTACTACTATGGTCCCCTAGGTCTTAGACATTACTCCATCCCTGCACTTGGACATTTTGTAGCTCAACCTTAGTATGTCCTATACATACTTTGATATTCTATCTGGCTGCAAGGGACCCTTGTTGATGCTGTCTGAAGAGACTTTTTTTATCATGAAAGAGCCATTCCGACAAAGCTACTGTTGAGGAATGGCTACGTCCACCATAACCTCAAGCTAATGACAAGCACAGGATTCCTCATGTATTCTAGGCTCATGTTCTGCCTAGATTCGAGCTCTGGCTACCAGCCTATCATCATGTTTCTGTAGAACAAGTTGTTGCAGGATATCAATGGATTTCACACAACACCATTTCTAGCTTTTACTTGAGAGACAGAAGCCCTTCAGGGCATATACTTGCTAGGCTGTTACAGATCAGTCATTTGTCAGGCCTTAGTTTTCCTCCCAACTATGGAAAAAAAAAGGGGCGGGGAAGCTGATCGAGGATTTTGCAAGCTGCTACAGAAGGTATGTCCACTTTTTATTCATTATCTTCTGAGTGAAACATATAGTAAGGAATTCCATGTATCAATTCAGTTAGAAATTAACAACAGAAGTGATGTCACAATCAGAAGAGAAATGAGACCAGAAGTGACATCATAACTGGAAGTGACATCATCAATGACAACATGTAAACTGGAAGTGATGTCATCAAAGAAATCAAAGAGAACTGGAAATGAAGTCAAAGGAAGGAACAGGCAGCATTGAACTGAAACTACATCAAAAGCTGAAGTAGAACGACTGGAAGTGATGTCTGAATCAAAATTAATTAGCAAAATGATGTTTTAGAAAGGTTTAAAGGTGATCATTAATAAAATATCAGCAATATAATGGTAATTCAAGAGAAGTTCCCACATATTACTGATTATTCTGCTGCGATTTTCAAGTCCTTTGGAGGTAAATAATTGGAAGTCATCTCATAGATAGTATAATAAGAATTTACTGGATTTGCTGTCAACTATACAGGGAGTATACTGGAGGTAGACCCGCCTTTTATCCCTGGTATATTTTGGCAATGAACTAGTAGAGGTAGAGGATTTGTAATAATTATTAAAACATGAGTCATCATTGTTAATAATTCTCAGAATACTCAGAGTGCTCAGAGTGCTCCCACCTCCCCAATCATCTGTCTCTATTTGATTGAAGTTTGGCAAGAAGTGAGGATTTTCCTGCCTTTGTTACAGAACAGCTGCTGTAACATAACAACTAGTTATGTATGGATGACAGTAAAGAGGACAATTCTTGCAAATCCACTACCTCACTTACATCTTTGCCATAAATCCTGTATTTTTGGCTTCAGTCACACTACCTAACGTTTTCAGATTTTCAACAGACATCCTCTTCCCTGTCAATCACACACAATTAGTTGTTCCCAATATAGCACTACAGCAACCCAAGGTATGACGTGCATAATTGCGAGAACCTCAACCTATTGTTATCGTTGTAACAATCTAGCATTTGGTTTAGTCACATTTAATCAAAGATTGTTTTATGGTTTTCTTAAAACAGATATATTAAGTCATATTAAGAGCTGCTAATTGTAGTGATGATCGACTATGCTTGTCGTAAGAGACGACTAACGGGATCGGGTGGTCAGGCATGCTGACTTGGTTGATGCATGTCATCGTATCCCAATTGCGTGGATAGATGCTCATGATATCAATCACTTGATTGTCTGGTCCAGACTTGTTTACTTACAG